TGCACTGATCCGAGCAATGCCACCAATGCACCCTGCCAGCTCTCCTCGCAGTATGGTGTCCGTGTTGGGACAATGACAATTGTTGGCCCAACGCCAGAGCAAACGGCGACCTGCATCAGCGGTCATGTTTGCTTCGTTGGCATCGAGGGGATTCATTTACCAGGAAGTCAAATGCTCGTCATGGACACTTGTGGCATTCCACCTGAGACTCAGTTGGCTCCTGGATTCCCAGGAACTGCACAAATCCGAAATTTCTCAAGTGATTCACTGATGAGTTCAATTTTCTCTTGGGGAGAAGTCCATGTAACACCCCCAGGCGGCACTTATCGGATGTGCTGGTGCGGAGACTTGAGTGCTTGCAGTCAGGGTAAAAGCTTTGTCGTAGACTTTGGAAGGTTGGCGATTCTGGGGCCGAGTCCCTTGCAGCAACATCAAACTTGCATTTCTGGCCTTCCATGTCCACTTCAAGCAAAGCACGCTTTCGATGGGGGGAGTGTCGGAAACGGCACCGAAATCAGCACATATATCCTGGTTTTGGACACCTGTGGTACTCCTTTTGCTCCAACAGGTTTTCCTACTTCAACAGCTTTGGGTGTGAACGTAAGAAATGCGAGCAGCTTTCGTACAGCAGCTCCTGGAGGAAGTTATCGGCTTTGCTGGTGTTCCGAGGACTTTGCTGGTGCAAGCGGAGTCAATTCTTCTACCCTTTGTGAGGTGCCCGAAAATTTCCGGAGTGACTTTGGGGAGCTGATGGTGATCGGTCCACGAGAGCAATCAAGCATCACTTGCATTAGCGGCCAAGTGTGCGCGCTTAACCAACTTGATTTGCTAGGAGTGCTAGTTTCAAACGAGAGCGGCAGCAGTTCCGATGTCCATGGTTTCTACATGGCTCTCGACACTTGTGGTGAGGCTGCTTTGGAGCCATTTGGATACGTGGGCAGGATTTCAGCAACTTGGCCGTTTGGTGTTGCTATCACTGCTGGCAACTTCAGGCTTTGTTGGTGCGGCTCGATGAGTGCCAATGCAACAAGCTGTGCTGAGGCATATTCATTCCTAACAAGTGCAGGAACGCTTTCCATTTCTGGGCCAATGCCAAATCAGGACAGGACTTGCGTGAGCGGACAGAGCTGCATGTTGGATGGCCTCGTTGGCATCGGCTTGCCTGACTTCAAGAATGCGGTGATAGTGCTGGAGACATGTGGGACTGCAGCGGAAGTTTCTGGCTTTCCACAACCTGCACTTGCAACAGAAGGAGGTGGATTGCAAGTCATGTGGGGCGGGCGGATTTCTACAGCAGGCGGCCTTTACCGGCTTTGTTGGACACTTTCCAATGACGCGCTCAATGCATCGAACCTCACACACCCTACAGTTTCCCATGCCTACAACGTGGACTTTGGAAGCTTGATGATCATCGGACCATCTCCTTTGCAACAAACAATGACCTGCATTGCTGGGCAACGGTGTGTGTTTGATGCACTCCCTGGCTATGGTATGTTGAGTGGACACTACATCCAAGTCGCCGACACTTGTGGAGTCTTGTCAGAAAACACCGATTTCCCAAGCGCAGAATTGCAGGCTCCTAACTTCACCCACTACGAGCTTCCAGAAATGTTTGCTCCTGGAAAGTCCTACAGGCTTTGTTGGTGTGCTTCTGGCTTCTCATGTAGCAAGATGGAATTTTTCCAAGTGGATGTCGGCACACTGAGGATTGTTGCTCCAGAGCCTTTAAACCAAGGGCGAACCTGTGTGTCCGGTCGTAGCTGCACGTTCGCAGCAAGCATGAACACTGCAGGTCAGATGATGATCATGGAGACTTGCGGCACCATACAAGGTCTGCCGGAGGCTTCTCCCGGTGCAGCAGTCACGGACTTCTTTGGTTCTGTGGGTTTAGTAAGTTGGCCCTTGCTTTTGCTTCAAGGCGGCTTGTACAGACTTTGTTGGTGTGCCAGTGACGTCGGTCTTTGCAAGTTACCATCCGGTTTCAGCGTTGATTTGGGTTCCTTGATGGTTCTTGGCCCTGAAAGAACCCAGAGCTTCACCTGCATCAGCGGGCAGTACTGCAACTTCGATATGAAGGGCATCTCAGGCGATGACCGGTTGCTGCTCACGCAGAGCTGTGGGGATCACACGCGCAGACAAGCTGCTGCAGCAGTGCATGTCTCAGTGCAGTCCATGGGAGATAGCGGAGACAACCTTTGTCGTGTGGGGATCCCCATTTCCGGAGACCTGTTCGATCTGAAACGACGTCCTCTCACGCTGCCAGGAGGCAGCTATCAGTTGTGTTGGTGCGCCGGGGCAGCTGCTGGGGCGAGGTGCGAAGATCCCAGTGACTTTCGCGTCCAAGCAGGAACACTGGTGGTCGAAGGTCCTTGGCAACAGCAGCAGTTCACATGCATATCCGGTGAGACATGTGCTGTGAAGTATTTGATGGGTGAAGGCATTTCGGAGCTAGGCATTTTGCAAACGCTTGAGACTTGTGGAGAAGTTCCACATACCACAAGCTCCCCAATGGTCTACGATGGCGACAAATGGGCTGCAGACTTTACAACACCTGGTGGTCTTTATCGCTTGTGCTGGTGTTCTCCCAGTTCTCTTTCCAACGTGTCCGACTGCGCGCGCATGGAGGACTTTGTAATGGATGCTGGGTCCATTCTACTGATGGGACCATCACCTGACCAGCATTTCACCTGCACAAGTGGTCAGACATGTCTTCTTGCTGGGCTTCGTGGATATTTGCAGCTCACCGACAGCATCGCAGTCTTGGAGACCTGTGGCATTGCAACATGGCCAACATGGTTGTATGCTTCAGAGGTCAAAGAAGCATCCGCTGAGTCTGGTGGCAACACATGGTCCTTTGAATGGGGCTCTACTCCCCTCCTGGCTCCACTTGGACTGTACAGGCTCTGTTGGTGCTCCGGTACCTCTGCAGCTCAGCGCTGCGTCGATGCCAGTGCCTTCCGCGTGGACTTCGGAAGTGTCTTCGTGCGGGGTCCGGAGAGCCTTTTGGTGGAGAGCACCTGTGTGAGCGGACAAGCATGCAGCCTCCCTTGGGGCGGAATGGGAATGGATGGAACTGGCCTTGTGGTGGTGCTGGACACCTGTGGCGTCCCCTCCAATCACATGGGCATACCCAGCATTTTGAGTCAGCTGGAGAACATGCAGGGCCAACTGGCTCACGACTTCCATGCAGAAGGTCTCGTGCTCACAGCAGGTGGTGGTACCTTTCGCCTTTGCTGGTGTGCTCAAAACAGCACCTGCTTTTTGCCTCAGCACTTCTCAGTGGACATGGGTCAATTCACACTGATCGGCCCCTCGCGAGAACATTCTAACACCTGTGTCGCAGGGCAAAGCTGTGTGATTGGACAGGTGAGGGGCTTGCAATTGTCGACGGCAGACAAGGTGATGATCTTGGACACTTGTTTTACACCACAGAGCAACCAGAATCTGTCGACGCAGAGCAATCAGAGTAGCACAACATCAATTGTGCTGACAGGCTTTTGGAACGATGGAATCAGTATGGAGGCTTTGGAAGAGTTGCCCATCAGTCCACCACATGGGCCGATGATGCAATTTCACTTCGGCCCCATCACAGCACCTGGCGGAAAGTATCGACTTTGCTGGTGTGGAGGTGGCTTCAGATGCACCTCTTCGGAGAATTTCCTGGTTGACTCTGGCGAGCTGAGCTTGCTGGGATTGTCATCACTTCAAGAAAGGAGGACTTGCATCAGTGGCAGACCCTGCAGCATTGATGGCTTCGCCAGCTACGGAGATTTGTCCGGTTCACAGATGGCCGTGTATGACACCTGTGGTGTGGAACTCTCCGATGCAGGTGCAGCCGGCTTCCGTCGGCTTCGCTTCTTCGTCCACGGCTCATAAGTCTCTTGGAGACACGTAGAAGTTCTTGGAGACACGTAGCTTCTTGTTACTAGTAGCGTCCTTGTTACTACTAGTAAGGCACTTGTTACTAGTAGCGATGGCCTCCACCTAGCTTCTTGCTCCGTTCGTAGCGATGCCCTTTGTTTCTAGTAGCTTCTTGTTCCACGCTTTGGTCTCTTTTCGAAACAGGTTCTTCTTTTCCTTCTTTTCTCCAGGCTTCGTCTTGGGTCCTTTTGGAGGTTAGATCTGCTTAGCCAGTGCCATTTCAGTCGATGTGTTCGATGTGTTTGTTCTGTTCGCTTCACCTTCGTTCGCTTCACGCTGGCTGCAGGTGTTTACATTGCTCGAACGGAGTCCTTTGACGTTTTGGCCAGTGGCAGTGCATTTGCCTGGACCTTTGACACCACAGCCAGTGGAGGTGGGACCAGAATGGGGCGAACGAACGCATCGCGACTCGAACGGAGCATTCTTACTACGAACGAAACGATTGAAGCTACTAGCACGACTAAGTCTAAGTGACTGTTCCAAATTTGCTCTCCCTGGTAGGCATCTACTGGCTGTGCTGGTGTGCTCCAGGCAGTCCTCCATGCAGAATATCAGAAGCACGTATCGAAACCTTTGAACAAGATGCCCAAAAGCCCTTAAGAAAGCGTTCGACAGCAAGTGGTGTGTAAATGAAACGAAACAGAAAGGCGCCAGACCTCAGGCAAGTATTGTGCAATGTTTAACACCTTCCAACAGGTTTCGACTGTGTGACCGCTGATGAGTTCATGAGTCGCGAGCTTATGGCGCTTTGAATGCTGTT